TCTATCTATCTATCTATCTATCTATCTATCTATCTATCTATCTATCTATCTATCTATCTATCTATCTATCTATCTATCTATCTATCTATCTATCTTAGTCAGTCTCATTATAGCAATTTATTAATAATCTAAGTAATGACGAATCATCTATTAAGTACTTATATTTGCAGTTTCCTCAATGCTTTGGGGTTTTTATGCGATACATCGTATAACTGAACATATATATGTTGTAACTGATATCTTTAAAAAATGCATCTTACAGATTGTCTCCACAGTAAACAATTCGCCCAGTCTGTGACGGAAGCAGTCAATGCTGGAGTTCTTGCAGCCGATTGGACAGAACCCCTAAACAAATGAACAAAAAAACAAAAAATAACAATAACTCAAAAACTGATATTAATTAACCGATCCCTCTGGAAATATATTTCACAGCAAAAAAGAAAAAAAGTCTATAAAGTCGCTTCGTTGGCCGCCGTTTCCCTAAATAAGCCTGGAAAGAGGTAATAGAGACTGGAGAGTGTAATGATTGGTGGACTGCATGCTATTTCTGCTGGCAATCTGCGCTGATGTTGACCATGGTAAGCTCATCTTCACTATTTACTGACAACCAACACATTTATGGTCTGAATTCTTGAAAGCATGCATTCTGCTCTGCACTTTACAGAACATCTGCTTCTTGGCTTTAAATGATATGTGACTTGTCTTGATTTTTTATTTTCTTTAACCTGGGGTCCGTTTCACGAAGCAGGTTTAAAAAAACTCAGATTTAAATCTTCAACTCTATAGCCTAAAGTCGGGAACTATAAGTTTTCGGTTTAACAAGGGCTGCCATTGGCTACCAAGGGCTACTATGGATTATTCCAGTCAACTCCATGGGCCCCGTTATCACTGGGGCCCCGGTTCAACGAGTCACCATGACAACAGGCAACAGGACATGTCTGGTTCACCCCACTGGGTTAATGCGTAGTTTATATGTAGGCTATGGCAGGCCGTTTTGACATTTATTAAAAGCACTCTCCTCTGTGTTGTTCCATTTGTAGATCACTAAAATAAGATTCCTCCTGATCAAAATTACATTTTAGCAGCAGCAGCTGAATTTCAGAAAGCATAAATAACTAAATTATACTAGTAAGAATTAAGTTTTATATCCCTTGAACTGTTTACACATTTTAGGTCTTTTTTTTCATTTATCAGCTTGACTGAATATGTATTTATGACATCTGAAATACATTTCTTTGTAGTCAAATTAATAAAAATGAAGACCAGTAACAATTTCTGGACATCCAGAATATGTATTCCAGATCTATCATTTTGTTCTAAATTGTCATTTTGACGAGGAAAATATCAGATATCAGGAATACATATTCTGTAAAATTGATACATACCAATGTGGTTTGTTGTTACCACAATAACATTAGGAGTTTATTTCTTGAATGGCAGTGGATTCATGTATCTATTCAGTTGAATAGATCTTCTTGCAACAGCTGAAGATGAAGTCTAAAAACGTTGTTTTAACAGATGGAACCTGTTCATCATCGCTTCTTCAAGTTGATTCTGTCTTCTTTTACACAGTAAATACTAAGTGGTTGCTTCCAGCCGCTTCAGATGTTATCATCCCAATAAATTGTATTTATTAGTGGTTATCAGTACCATTAAATGGCTTCAGATTGTGCCAGTAGGTCAGTAGGTTGATATCACTGACTGAATCCTAATCCTTACCCTAAAGTAATTAGGGTAATTACAAAATTAAGAACAAGGCAAATGCAACAAATAAACAAAACCAAAAAATTAGAATGGAATGCAAAATATTTCTTTAATTCAAACTAGATTTTTTTTCTGGAAATATTTTACAACATTAGAAACAATGGAGGCATGACATTTTTTGCCTTCATTTTCAAAATAAAAACTCTAGAGAGAATAGAACAATCTTGTTTTTGTCTTTGTACCTCAGTTAACCTTTTTTTAACTAGAGACTTTGTCGTTTACAAAGAGCTCTGAATGTGATATAAAACCAAAGGGCTCCAAAATAGCATGGATTTCGTTTTAAAGATGCTTTTGTTTGGCGTGTTTAGAGAAAAGAGGTTAAATATTTTTTTCTTTCCTAACTCTTTCTTCCAAAAGGAATTAGTTGTATTTCTGTACTTTCACGAACTCTATGTTTTTTTTAAAGATGAATTGCAGCACAAGCACCCATCGTGGTAGTCCCACCCACAAGGAAAATATTCCACCATTAACCAAAGCAGATGCTTTTCAGCACCAGAGGACCAAACAGCGCACAGTGCTCGGGGTGTTGCCAGAAAATGAGCTGCGTGGACGGTCGCTCAGCCAGGTCAGTAATAGGAGCCCTGTGATCTTTCAGGTTTTTACTTCCCAATCATGGAACTGTTATGTCTGATTTCCTCCACAGGGAAGCCAGTTTTCCAAACACAGTTCTGTTTTGGACAGCTCGCAGCTTAACTTTCTGGGCTGCACCTCTAGTTCCAGCTATGAAGTATATGTTGAGGAGGCCTGTGAAGTTGTTCTGGCTGCTTCAGGTCAGGAAGTTGTTTCAGATAGTTGTGACCTTGAGTCTGATACCAAATCCCTGCAGGATGAACACGTGCGGCTCCTGATGGAGTTTAGTTCAAGTAAGTTTTGCCTGGTGGAAAAACAAAAATCCCTCCACAGTGCATTGGAAAGTACTCACACATCTTAAACTTTTTCACATTGTCTCACATTTAAGCCATAATTTGCTATGTACTTTAAAGGAACTTTATGTGGTACATTAATGAAAAGCACTGCATTAAAAATGATTTAATATGCCTCCTGTTTGGGGCCCTTATACCACTAAATTATAACACTATCTTTATTAGTTATTTAATTCAGTCGAGTCTACTTAAAGCTACAGTGTGTAACTTTTAGCGACATCTAGCGGTCAGACTGCAGACTGCAGCAACATGAACATCTCCCCCCCACCGCTTCTCCCCCCCAACAGTACGGCGAGCGTTACGGGACAAAATGTCTTCCACGACGTCTGCATCACCTACCTTCTCAAGTGATGAGGTTTGTTTACATAGATAATTTTACAGATAGTATTTCATTAGTCTGTGTAGGGTATAGATTTCATGTAGACTTAAGATAATAAATATACCCGTTATTTTTTCTACATCGTTGTGACATTTTGGCGATCTCGCAATCACTAGTTTGTTGGCTCTGCGCTGCCGTAGCGCAAAGATGTCTGCCTCCATGGCTGCGAGACCCGCTCCTATGTAATTATAAATAACGAATTCTAAGGCAACGCAAATATTAAGGTTAAGAGGCTGAGCTTGTAGATGATGATAAAATAACATAGTTATGTATAATATATTACATTTCTGACTGTATATCCCTGTAATTATTACACACTGTAGCTTTAAACCAATAGGCCAGGTAATGTGGATAATAACTACACAAAAATCAACGGTAACTCTAAAAGAGCTGCAGTTATCTACAGCCTAGTATAGTCTACTCTACAAACAGTTGGAAGAGGGCGCATTGGCCTAAACAAGGAATTACATACTCCTTGATCACACCATCCCCACAGTTAAGCATGGCGTTAGTAGAATCATGCTGTTTGAAGGATTTTTATTTCCACAGGGGTAGAGATACGGGTCAGAACTGATGGGAAAATTAATGGAGAAAATACAGGAGAATCCTGGAAGAAAAAACACTTAGACCTGCAAAAAATGAAAAGGGTGGCAAAGGTTCCTCTTTTTCTTTTAAAAGGACATCAGGCAGAGCTACAGTGGATTGATCTTAATGAAAGAAAGCTTAGATTTTGAAAATCATATTTTGAAAATAATTTAGGCTGAAAAAGTTATAATAAAAAATGTGCAGCTTATTGCATCAATGTGTATTTCCACCAGGTTTTAAGTAATATGGTACCATATACAAAAAACATGAAATTTGTTCAGATTTTTTATTTTTCTTACCTTGCCCCACAGCTTTATGGGCATGCATTACTTTGTGTTGCACTGTCACTTTAAATCCCAACAAAATACATTAAAGATTCTGGTTTTAAGCAAAAAAAAACATGGAAAACTTTACAAAGTATGAATATTTTCGGGGGAAAAATATATATATATAAATATATATATATATGTAAATGTATATGTACTCCCTTTTGTCACTGGTCACTGGTTGCCAGGTGCTTGGCTGGATGCTTCTATGCATGCTGAACCAGAGGAACCTGAGGTGTCAGGGGATACCTTCTGTTTTGATTATGCAGACGATATTTACAAGAACTTAAGGGAGATTGAGGTGAGTTTCTTCTTATGTAAATCATTTACGCCTTTTCAGTGCTTGGAAAGATTTGCTAAATCATGCTGGTTACTGATTCCAGAAGAGGTTTAGGGCAAAGCCAGGCCACTTGGAGAGACATCCAGAGATCACCGATGGTATGCGGGTCATTCTGGTGGACTGGCTGGTGGAGGTTGTGGAGGAATACAAGCTTAGTTGTGAAACTCTGCACCTAGCTGTAAACTACCTGGACCGGTTTCTGTCCAGCACAGCATTTATCAGGAGGAGCAAGTTGCAGCTGGCTGGAACAGTTGCATTACTGGTTGCCGCGTAAGAAGCATCCTTATTTTCTCTCCTTTACCTGTTTTATAAGGCAACCAGTGGTTGTAACTGTGATGCCACGTATGTTTTTTTTTTAGGAAATACGAGGAGACATTTCCTCCTGAGCTGAATGAGTTTGTGTACATCACAGACTGCACCTACACCAAGAAACAGCTGCTCCGGATGGAAAGCCTTTTGCTGAAGGTGCTTGACTTCAATTTGGCAGCACCCACCACCAACCAGTTCCTTCGCCTGTTCATGTCGGTCCACTCTGTCTGTTCAACCACAGAGAACCTCGCTCTGGTGAGTTAAACAAATGTTCTTTCCCTCTACAGCAGAAACAGCCATCTCTACTCCATGTTTACTGCACTTTGGGGAGGTAATCATAACCCTTGAACTTTTGTCACATGTTGTCACATTACAACCAAAAACTTGAACTTTAGATATATTATCAAAACCATTCCTTTGTAGATTGTTGTAATGTCCCCAAAATGTGTATTTCCCTGCAGAGCTGCATTTTTTGTAATATCTGCCCAAATGTTGAATATTAATTTTTGTTTCACCGGGGCACTTTCTCTGTTACACTCAGTGTAATGTTGACAGTTTGGAATATGAAAATGAATAAACAATAACTCCTGGTGCGCAGTAGAAGGAGATGAGCAGACCCTATTTTCCTGAGGAAGCTGAGATCCTTCAACGTGTGCAGCAAGATGTTGAAGATCTTTTACCAGTCTGTTGTAGCCAGCACCATTTTCCTTGCTGCTGTGTGTTGGGGCAACAGCATCAGACAGCGACACCAACAGACTTGAGAGAATCGCCAGGAGGGCTGGCTCTGTACTTGGACACAGGCTGGAGTCTTGAGACTGTGGTGGAGAGGAGTACGCTGAATAAACTCTATCCATCTTAGAAAAATTATCAGCACCCTCTCCATCACACAGTGGTCAGACAGTGGAGCACCTTCTCTCACAGGCTGCTCCGCTTTTCAAAGGGAAAGATTGAGGAAATCCTTCCTGCCATTTTACTCTGTACAGTAAAAAATAAACTCTTGTCTTGTCTCAGCATACAGTACCCAGCACTGTACTGTACTCCATGTTGTAATACATTATACATCATTGGTTCACTGCACCTTATACTTATTTTACTTGCATTTTAACCAGTACTGTTTATTTATACAATTTTAAATTGCATTTTTATTGTAAATACATCTAGATATTGTTTTACTTTTTACCTCATTGTGTTGTGACTGTCACTATGTGTAAAGCTGCAGCTACGCAGCCATTTCCCAGCTTAGGATAAATAAAGTACATGTATCTATATTATTTGGATCTTAAGCTTTAAAAGGGTCATAGAATGATTATATATGGCATTTGGTGCTGGTCCTTAAGGTCTCTGAATAGGGTGTGTAACATTGGTTGGGCTGAAAATGGCATATTTGCTGTTCTATGAGCCCTAATGCAAGCCTAGTTAAGAGCTCATGAATATTTAGATGAGTTGTATGCTTGGGAAGCATACCACCACTGGGTCGGGTTCAGTCGCTTCGTTCCCGGCCGCTTGGGTTCCTGGACCAGCCCAGGAGCTCACGGCTCAGTTCGAATGCCCGGTCTGGTCCAGTCAGCGGCCCAGCAGTGGCTCGTCTGTATGTCAATTTCGGGGGGTGACAAAAGTACAGGACAAAACCAAATTAGGCAACATCCCTGAATCGACGTCAATTCAGTGCTTTGTTTGAATTTGCCCGTTTTATGGTGGAAGTTTAGAATTGTGAGATTTACAGAGAAAGGAGGTGTTGATGGGATTTGAACTTCTCTCTACGTCCATTTCACCCACTGAACTATCGTTATTCATCTGTGACAATGCAAACTCGGTTTTGCATTCTATGACCCCTTTACAGATTCCATCATAAATTTTGCAGCAAAATCAGTTTTGAAATACTTTACATTTTCAGATTCATCTTGAAAAGCATGAGTCCTTTACCTTCCGCTGCCAACTTATGATTTATTGTCTTGATCTTTCAAATAAAAAGAAAAGACTAAGAGGTTCAGGAAGCAAGGTACTGCATATTTTAACCTTTTCACTACTTCCAGTATATTGCAGAGCTAAGCCTACAAGAGGCTGATCCCTTCCTGCGATACACCCCATCCATACTGGCAGCTGGAGCCTACTGCTTAGCTACCTACACTGTGAGCAAATCTTACTGGGTGAGTTGGACCGGATAATTCTGTTATTTTTTTTCTTTTCTGGTTAAATGTGACCAATACTTTTCCTTATATTTATATATATTGTATTTCAGCCTGGTTCTTTAGTTGCCTTTTCTGGGTATACCATGGAGGAAATCATTCCCTGCCTGAGTTATCTTCACAAGTTGTACATCAGTGCAGAGAGTTGGCAGCAGCAAGCGATCAGGGACAAGTACAAATCTACAAAGTAAGGAGTTGTAGAAAGTTTTTTCAGGAAGAGTTAGAAACTTTACAAGATATTTTGTGTCTTAGATTGCCATCTCAATTGTTAATGAATTAAGGAAATGTTTTTTTTTTTTAAATACACCCTTTGTCTGTCTTGTATAGGTTTTGTCGTGTTTCAGGCATCCCCCCGCCTGCTGCTTTGACTCTCCTATGATTTGATCTCTTCACCACTCTAATCCTCCCAAAAGAACCTAGTTACTTACCAGCACAGTATAAACAAAGCTAACACTGCTTTAAGTCTTCTTTACCAGACTTGAAGAAGGCATAAAGCAGGTACCTGTATGTAGACTCAGTTATTTTTAGCTTTTTCTTCAAACAATACATAGTTACGTTGAAACTGTTTAGATAGCACAGTTAATTATTGAATCTCCTTCAAGATGTACATGGATGTAAGTTTAGAGTGTTGAATAAAAATTTTGATTTCAACTACAACATGAAATGTCTTGTTCTTATAGTGTTTTCTTTGTATAATTTAGTTATCAGGACGGTAATGTATTTTCTTTTTATATTAGATTGTGTGATAATGTAGGTTTCAACAGGTATCTCACTTTAAAATATGAGCTTTCCATCCATCCATCCATCCATCCATCCATCCATCCATCCATCCATCCATCCATCCATCNTCCATCCATCCATCCATCCATCCATCCATCCATCCATCCATCCATCCATCCATCCATCCATCCATCCATCCATCCATCCATCCATCCTCTTCTTCTTATCCGGGGTTGGGTTGTAGGGCTAGCAGCTTCAGTAGAGAGGCCCAGACGTTCCTCCCCCCAGCGACTTGGGCCAGCTCCTCCGGGGGAATCTCAAAGCATTCCCGGGCGAAACATATTCCCTCCAGCGTGTCCTGGGTCTCCCTCTGAGTCTACTCCCAATTGTACATGCCTGGAACACCTCACAAGGGAGGTGTGCGCACCTCACAAGGAGCAGCGACTCTCTGCGGCTCTCCGCAGGAATGAGCTCCTCACCCTATCTCCAAGGCCGCTTGTATCCGGGATCTCAGTCTTTTGCTCATGACCCAAAACTCATGACCATAGGTGAAGGTAGGAATGTAGATCTGTGAGTCCTTCTGGTAAAAAATAGAAGTTTTAGTTCTTTAACCTTAAAAGGTATATGTATTAAATACAAGTTAAAACTTACAGAACATTAATGTATTACCTGTAAAATCCAAGTGAAACATGCAAACAAAGGTAGTTGTTTGTTGGGTGATGACGTTTGTCATGGTTTTAGAGTTTCACTATATTGTAGAGCTTTTGTCTGAATTCAATTTCGCTATTTTGATTGATGCTCCTCCATTCCTGTTGAGCAGAACAGAGGTTGTAAAATATTTAAGTTGCTCTGATGTGACCGCTGTCACATGTAAGTTTGTTTTAACGATTTTACTTGATTTTCACAATTTTTTTTTATCAAACAAAGAACTTTTTTCTATGCATAAATAAAAAAAATAATCAGTTAAACAAAAAATAATCTATGTTAAGTAAATCTTGAATATAACCAAACACTTGCTCTTTGAAATGTGATTATACAAATGCATTGCACAAAAATGTACAATGAATCTTGTTGATCCTATTATTTTGTCCCCACAAATATTAATTATTCAGCTCAGACTCTGGGTGCACAACATTTGTTTCCTGTTGTGGATAAAAGTGCAAAAGGTGAGTGTGGTTACACACATTTTCAACCAAAGCATCAGCTGGGACATTACGGGGGGCTGAACAAACCATTCCCTCCTTCTAATCTGTCGTTCCTTTTGATGAACCACATAAACCCACTTCCCTACAGAACAGACACAGTAGTTTCTGTTAATACGAGGTTTTAAATTTTATGGGTTAATAAACACACAAATTTCCCATGGGTATTAATTTATAGTCAACTCAGATATGTCTGGGAAAGTGGTTGAGCTGAATTAACATTAAAAGAACCAACCAAAGGGAAAATACCTACAAGTGCCTAGGAGAAATAATTCAAAAATACACAGAAAATGGAAATTAACTAGTATGGCAAAACTTTATACAACAAAGAGGAAATTAACTGAACATGGAAAAAAGCAATGAGGAGATGTTAAAAACAAAGACGATCAAAAACAAAACCGAAGAACCTAAACCAGGAGTCACCAATTGGTGCTCACGGGCACAAAGGCAAGGCAAGGTCAATTTATTTGTATAGCACAATTCAGTACAAAGACAAAGTGCTTTACGTGATTAAGATATAGGAAAATAGAGCAGAATAAAAGCATGTAGGAAAAAAAAAAAATACATAAATAATGCCGAAACGAAAAAGAACATTAAAAACAGTTGGACTAAAGAAAATAAAAAAATTGAACTAATGATGTTTCAGTTGAACAGTTTAAGGGGCCCTCAAGGAGCACATGGGTAGAGTCTTAGTTGGAAATTTAAATATATTCTGTTGCTCTTCTTTTTTAATCATTCATAGGGCATTTCAAAATCACAATGTCTAAAATAAAACAAATGAAAAGAAACATTAAAAATGTGCAGTTCATGGGTCAGTATTGGTAGCCCTTCCTATGACTCACTACCCTTGAAGTGGCCCTCAGCCTTAATAAGGTTGGTGACCCCTGAGCTACTGTAAACCCATGTTGATCATAACAGTGACTTTAGCTCCAACTGGCCGTATGAAGTGTAGAGAAACCTAGCTCTTGGTTTGAAATATTTGATAAATTCTTGACTTTATGTTAGTGTGCCACATCATACACTTGCTATTTTACAAGTGTTGTAGTATTTTCATCTAAACTGCCAAAGTGAGTGGTTTGTAACTTGAAACAAAGTTATGGTTTATCAGCAATTGAAACTTAGGTCAAATAAATGGGCATTTGAAATAAAGTGCACAAGTTTACAATATAAAGTATTAGGCTTACTAAATATAAAAAAACATTTAAATCATTCCAATATATCCGCAAAAACACTGGAAATATTTTTAGACCAGAGGGGTGGAAATTATATCCATTTCTTGTTAATAAAAGTTAAACTTGTCATTTTTTTGGTGAATTCCAAGCCAGCATTGGTACCATACTCCATAGTGTATGCGTGACACAAAGCCAATGAGGGCTGAAGCTGACTTGACGTCAGTGGGAGGCGTTAGTGGACAGGTGTGGTCCAACGTGTTAACAGAATGGGAAAGATTTTCACCAATGTGTGAGAACCGAAAGAAATGTTTAAAAACTAATTAGATGTGTCTGTTTTTTAAAGTCCTTTGCAGGTAGTTTATCAGTTTCTGTATGTTTCTTTTCTTTCATCGGTCTATAAATAGCCTCATTCGCAGGTGATGTGGTCTGTCTTTCTGGATTAACCAGTTATGTTCCCCAGCCCAGAAATTTAACCCTACAGCTGACAACAATACATCTGTGACTCACCCGTTCTTCACGCCCATTGCCTTAATATTGCCGTCACACTGTTGGAGTGAATTATTTAAACCTGTTGTGGAAACCTCCAACTACCCGCTTTTGGTTTTCTTTTTGAAAGGTAAGGTGTAAAAGTTTTATTGCTTCTAATTTCAAGCTTACAGAAATACAAAGCCATATTTTAACAATAAATCAGCTGTAGCTTCTTTAGAGGGTCAGTAAAAAGTTATTTTGTTTAAACTGTCTTCTTAAACTGTTGTCAAAGTGAAAACTCAAAGATAGATTGGATTAATTTCACAATAATACATTTCAGGTATTGCTTCCTTTTAATTTAGAGAATAATCTCTTACTGATAATGAAAAGCCAGATTTTCACTTATTAGAAAACAAACATATTACCTGAAAGCAATAAATGATGATATTGTTTGCATGGAATGTATTTAACACTCATTTCTTAGAGTGTGTGGAGGCACTACAGACAAATCTTTTTTTTAAATCCAATAATATGATAAGTGCGATTCATTTCCTCCTTATTTATGTTTTTATTTTTCTCTATCTTCCATAATCATCTATGTGTTCATTCAGTTAACTGTTCCTTAGTAATGATAGTGGCTTGTCAAGTTGAAATTAACTATAATGCTTACAACAGAATTCTGTTTTAAAACAGATCTTTTTTGTTGGTCTTCTGTAATATAATAAAAAATACTCCAAGTAATAACAAATAACAGGGATATATTTGAATTCTTTCCCAGTATGAAGTCTATGAAATATGAGTTTTAAATTTTTTTGATAGGCTAATTTATTTGGACACATCCATGTCTGTATATTTTAGGACATTTTTTTTCCAGCATTTTCAGGATTATATATCATCTTATTTACTATTTATTTATTTATTTTCCAGCATGGCAGAGCCTGCAGAACTGCTGGTCATCAAGGACCAGTATGAACTGGCCCAACAATCCCTGGATCTTGGATTAATGGCTGAAGAGGCTGACAACAAATCAGGGGCTCTGATGTTCTACAAGAAGGGTAATCTTCATCTTTCTCAAGGATTGGAGATTCCCACTGGAGGGGAAAGGCACAAAGGAGAGGCCTGGGAGAAGGCCAGGCAGCTTCAGCAGAAGATGAAGGAAATGTTGGCAACTATCGATACACGCCTGTCTGTTCTGGAAAAGTCCACAACGGGATACACAAATGGCTCATTGTTGGATGGTCCTCTCAATCTTTACCCCAACTTGGCAATTACCAGCCAGCCCACCAATAGCTCTGTTCACCATTTGTACCCAAACATACCAGATACGTCCCAGAGTGAATCGCCAGCCCCTGTCAGCTCTGTGTCTCCTGCTGTTCTGGATGCACACACACTGCCTGCAGCAGATGTGGAAGCTGTGGCCATGGATAGCTCAGCAGACCTGCCTCCAGCTTACACATCAAAGCCCATGGATGGGCACCGTAGCCTGGCTTATGATCCTGCTGGAAGCGCCGTTTGGTCAGGGGAGCCACCAGATGAGAAGGAGCTGCTGTTGATCCCCTCTGGGGTGCAGCTTTTCTTTGTCGAACCAAATGGTCAGGTCAGCTCTCTATCTAATCCGGGTTACCTCCGCATCGTCACGGTGGATAATCAGCAAAGTGATTCCAGTGCTGGAAAACCGGCTGCATTGTTACATGTAAGTTAAAGGAAGAGCCCATATTTGTTTAGACGGATGTTCAGGTGTTTGTCTACGAGATAGATAGGCACGACTGCAAACAAACCAAAACATTTTCATCTCTGGAATCTTTACAGTATGATTCAGGAAGTTGTTGCCTTTGTTAAAAAGAAAAAAGAAACAGCTACAAAGTAATATTAGCCTCAAAATTGATGCTGAGGATTTTTTGGATCAGCATAACATTTTGGTCTAAGATTAAATATAATTTAAGCTGCCATGATTTCTTTAAACGGTGACAGAAAAAAATATTTTACAATGTTTGTACCTTTATTTTTAATATCAGTAGATGCTATCTGATTTGTAATCCAACTGATTTTCTAATGG